ACTGAGACAAGGGGCTCTCGTGGCCTAGAGGTTAAGGTGTTGGCCTCTCATTCAAAGGTCCCGGGTTCGAATCTGGGTAGCGACCGAAAATTTTTCGTCTCCAAAATTGTCTCCTTTTACCTCATTTCCTGCTCTCTATTCAGTTGTCTGCTTTCGTCTCCTCTTTCTGCCCCCACCCCCTCACCTCCTTTGCCCCCTCCTATGGGCACCTGACTCTTTCTGCAGCCTTTCTACTGCTACTCCTTGACTCCTTCTTACAGCTGTCTTTCTGCCACACCCCTGGTCTTCTGGTAGGAAAGATCTACACCTAGCCTTCTCGGACAAGGGCCAAAAATCTCGTTAAAGTTGCGCACGTTAAAGATCCCTTGGTGGTCTAAACTCAATAAGAAGAGTAGACTTCGGCCGCCACCCGGGCAAAATTCAAAATTTCCTACCAACTAAAAGTATCAGGTGTGTCCCGCGCGCTCATATATGACCTTCTGCAGTTGCGACCGCTCTAAAACACTTACCAAAAAACAAAACAAAAAAAACCCCAACAACCTGAGACATAGATCTCATGTGTGCAAGTGTGAGCGTGCGCGTGTGATAAGCAAGTAAGTGTGTACGTGTGTGTGGTGTGCATGTGTGTGCGCGTATGTGTGTGCGTATATGTGTGTGTGTGTGTGTGTGTGTGTGTGTGTGCGTGCGCGTGTAAGGTGTGCGTATGTGTGTGTGTGTGCGTATGTATATGTGTGTGCGTATGTGTGTGCGTATGTGTGTGTGCGTGTGTGTGTGTGTGTGTGTGTGTGTGTGTGTGTGTGTGTGTGTGTGTGTGGCGCGTACGCGCGTGAATATTGTTCGTACATGTAATGATGCATTAAATGTAAACAGAGTGTCTCCATACACGGTAACCGGGCACCTAGTCTCAGTATTCTATTATACCTATACGGTAACCGGGCACCTAGTCTCAGTATTCTATTATACCTATACGGTAACCGGGCACCTAGTCTCAGTATTCTATTATACCTATACGGTAACCGGGGACCTAGTCTCAGTATCTATTATACCTATACGGTAACCGGGCACCTAGTCTCAGTATTCTATTATACCTATACGGTAACCGGGGACCTAGTCTCAGTATCTATTATACCTATACGGTGACCGGGCACCTAGTCTCAGTATCTATTATACCTACACTGTACCTAACCGGAATGAAAGTAAATCAATATTGTCCTGTGCTGTCATGTGCTTTAAAAAAAAAAGAAAGTCACACAAGCGTCTTGTCGGGCTCGCCATCGTGACCGGTCAGTAAACCTGTGCTTTCGCATCACATTGTGAGTACCGGTTGGGGTCACCAAAGTTCATTCAATGTCTGTGCACTGCGAAGTATAGGGCTCCGGAATGGGGAGATTATTGATTTTTTTAAAAAGGTACAGCGGGGGAGGGCTGGGGTTGAAGGCAACACCGGATGACAAAAACTGAACTTGGAGTTCTGAACTGCCCGGTTACCGTGTACGTTACACTGAGGCTAGGTGGTTACCGTGTACGTTACACTGAGGCTAGGTGGTTACCGTGTACGTTACACTGAGGCTAGGTGGTTACCGTGTACGTTACACTGATGCTGGGTGGTTACCGTGTACGTTACACTGAGGCTGGGTGGTTACCGTGTACGTTACACTGAGGCTGGGTGGTTACCGTGTACGTTACACTGAGGCTGGGTGGTTACCGTGTACGTTACACTGAGGCTGGGTGGTTACCGTGTACGTTACACTGAGGCTGGGTGGTTACCGTGTAGTGTACGTTACACTGAGGCTGGGTGGTTACCGTGTACGTTACAATGAGGCTGGGTGGTTACCGTGTACGTTACAATGAGGCTGGGTGGTTACCGTGTACGTTACACTGAGGCTGGGTGGTTACCGTGTACGTTACACTGAGGCTGGGTGGTTACCGTGTACGTAGACACTCCATTATGTAAACTGCCTTAATTAAGCTGCGTTCACACGGGAGTGGGCGCTATAGAAATGATCTACATTATTATTACTATAGTTTATAAATGGAAACAGAAAATGTGCTGCATATTTACGATTTGACTTAGTGTTAAAACAATATCATACTGGTTTTAAAAAAGAACATATCTGAAATAGATATATATACATACAAATTACCGGTGTATCGAAGGTTTCAAGAGAAAAATAGAACAGGGTCTGAATTGATTGGAGCATAAACTAATTTTGCATTTTGAGGTTGTTTCGAAAATCCCCCATCAATTTTTTTGTTTTTATAGACTAAACCACATACTACACTTCTAGATCTTTGCATGAACCAAGTACCAGGTAGGTACTAAATTTGGTCAAATTGTGTGCCTTCATTTAAAAGTTATTACGAAAAGCGAGGGTTGCGTTATTTTGTGTCACGTATTAAATTATACAAGCTGGGCCCCCTTTCGATGAAAGGAATGATCGGTACATTAACACCAACTGAAAGTCATTGGCCTACTACATTTACACTCTACTGGAATGGAGCAATAAATCTTGAGAGAAAAGTGACACACGTGTTTCCAAGTGGCCAAATATAATAATATTCTAATCTAAGACTGTCCCTGTCGTTTTATCTTTTTATGCAAGAAAAAAAATGTGAAATTATGCAAATTGATCCCCAAAATGTGAAATTATGCGATTCTGTTAATTTTAACAAAGACTGATAAAGGAAAATAATCAGAAATTATGCAAAAAAAAAGATCAAATTTTGCTAAATGATGCGGGGTGCATAAAACCACGTGGACAGCAGTTAAGACCTGTTGACGTTGTTCCCAGTAGCAAGAAAAAGAATTTGACAAAGGAGTGCTGAAAAAGCGATGATGGGCAAAAAAAAAAAGGATCACAGTCGAATTGAGCACCAAGTAAAAAAAGAAAACATGAGGCTAGATCATAGAGTTACTCCCTTTTAAACCTATAGTGTACATCTATGGGCTAAATCCAATAAATCTATACGGAGTCCACACTTAAAATAGTGCTCAGTTTTGCCCAGCAATGCGCGATAGTATCGAATACAAGTACGACTTGAAGGCGGGTTTTCTAAAATTACAGAGACAGAAGCGTCGGCCTACAAAAGCGATCGGCGAAATAAAGAAATTTAGCTTTTTACAGCAAAACTGTCTCAAAACTGGAAAAACGAAGGGCGCCATGATCTGGGGAATATTTTAAAGAATATTTTTGCGAAAACTGCATGTCGATCGATTCTGCAATTAAAAAGCCTTTTGAATAGCAAAATTCGGCCACCACAAATAGATGATAGATTTGGTCGATAACTTAATGATTAACGTAGGCTACTCGTGTGTTGTTACTAGTAAGTGTTGTTAATAAAATTTGTATTGTGGGTCTTGATTTAAGAAATTTGCTTCCATGCGGGATTAAACGTATCGTGCAAAATCTTAAAAATAATTATCATCTCAGCTAAAAACGGACTTCATTTTTGGAATCTGAATATCAAAATAAGCTAAGTGGCTCACTACGAACCGGAATTAATGCGATATTTAAACGCACCCCACACTGATCGAGTGGCATCTGGTGTTTTGGCTAAAGCTATAAAGACTGATTTAATCACATCTTCTGGATGGAATCTCACCACTGCCATAGATAGAAATTAAGAGCTTTGTTGCTATTTCAGTGCCTAATTCTTCTATTGATAAAAACAACCAGGAAAAGACAACTAAAGCAGTTTCTGGGACATTGTAATCAGACATAAATGCTTCCAACATCTAACTATCGCTGGCAAAACTGAAGGCAAACGAGGCAAGTGTAGACCCAGAGCAACCCACTTAGAGAGCCTAATATAAACAGTTGGGTGACGGGGAAAGATCAGGATAATGTAGCTTTTTTGTGAGCATCTGAGCAAAGGGATGAATGGCAAACCATGATCGTCGATGTCTGGCGTAGATTAGACCTGGTTCTTGATGATGATGATGATGATGATGATGATGATGATGATGATGATGATGATGATGATAATGAATTCTTTAAGTGTAACAGTCACTTCAATTGGGATATTTTTCCTACATACTATAAATTATGCTGTCCCTGTCGTTTTATGCATGAAAAATTCTGAAATTGTGCAAACTGAGCCCAAAAATGTGAAATTATGCGATTCTGTTAATTATAACAAAGACTTTTGTGAGGAAAATAATCAGAAATTATGCATAAAATGATCAAATTTGGCTAAATTATGCAGAGTGCATAAAACCACGGGGACAGATTATGACTTGTGAGCAAAACACACCAGTATACTACTATATAAGTGTAGTTAATTTAGGATCTGTCATTTGTGAGGCAGCGTGGTGGAATCAGGCTCTCGTCACAATAAGGAAAGTGAAGAAACTTGCATTTTTCCGCAGGTTTGCGAATTTTTATCAAATTTTTGTTTTTTGGCTCAACACCTTTCATGCCCATTAAAGAACTCATTTCTCTGTGGATTTTTCTGAAAAGCGTTGATTAAAGGCATAAAAAATGTAAATCTTCATTTACCACGGACTCTTAAGCTAAGGAAATAACTAATCTTTTTCGCCATTTTCTCACTAATTTTATCTCTGAAAACAGGTGACCCCCACCGCCTTCTTTTGAAAATATCTCGACTTGTATTTAAGATAAATGGAACTTTTTTGCATCCAAATAAAGACAAGTGAACAAGTCTTGAGATGATATCAATAACTCTACATGCCAAAAAATTGACGAGAGCCTGATTCCACCACGCTGCCTCACATTTTGTTTCGAAAAAGAAGGCAGAAGCTAGAAATCATGAACAGTGGCAAATTGGGAACAATGACTGTTACTGTTAGTTTTACTGCTGTATTGTTTATTTCGAAACCGAAAAGGAGAAAAAAAAGAACGAAAAAAAGAAAAAGAGAACTTCCAATTATGGTCAGCCTTGACCACCACACAGAGAAAAGCCATGTTCTCTCTTTCTCTCTCTCTCTCTCTCTCTCTCTCTCTCTCTCTCTCTCTCTCTCTCTCTCCATCCCCTCACCACTAGCTCTGGTCGCAGAGACCACAAAACTCTCTACAATACTTGTAGCCATCGGCCTCCTCCAGACAGATGGGGTACGTGGTTTCGTTCATGTGAGCACAGTCGGCCAGTGTCAACTTATCACCGCACGCCCCCGGGTGGATATCCGGGCAGTTTTGCTCGTCAGAGTTATCTCCGCAGTCAAAGAAGCCGTCACAGCGAAGTTCTTCGGGGATACAACCGCCTGACGTGCAGGGGAACTCTCCATTGGTGCAGGTGCAGTTTCGCTCGTCGCTCTCATCTCCGCAGTCGTCGATCCCGTCGCAGTAGAAGAGGGAGATGACACACACTGAATTGGCGCACAGGAAGTCGTCTGTCATGGGACATGTACCGTTACCATGACTACAGCCAATCTCGTCCGACCCGTCCCGGCAATCTTCAAAGTGGTCACACCTATATTTACCAGGGACACACCCATCGCTGCTTTTGCACAAGAACTCGTCCTCTCTACAACTGCTAATTGTAGGACAGTTTTTCTGTTGGAACGTAATAGTGAAAGCGAGTCATTAGACCAAAAAAAAGAACACCAAAAAACCCTACCAAAATAAAAACCCCAAAACAAAACAAATATTCTCACTGTGATATTTTAGGAACGTCAGGATTTCCACTAGCTAAATAACTACATCGGAAAATAACAGACCTAGATCTAGGAGACAAAGATAGGACTGCAGAAAAGTAAAATCGTAAAAGGAAAGAATAAAGTAAAGCACTTGTTCATCTAGGGAGACTGAAGGGGACTAGGGGATCCAAAGAGGAGAGGGGATACACAGGCATCTGTCCGACGGATCTCCAAACAGATCATGATGGAAACCATAAGTAGACAGACTCTGGGATGGATCCTTTAAGAGGGGGGGGGGGGAGCAGAGATGGACATGTTCCGACTGCAGTGACCCCAACACAGTAGACAAGTAAGGACAAGTAAGTAAGCACTTGTTGTTCAGAGACAGGGGGCTCTCGTGGCCGAGAGGTTAAGGTGTTGGACTCTCATTCAAAGGGCCCGGATTCGAATCTGGGTAGCAACCGAAAAATTTTCTTCTCTAAAATTGTCTCCTTTCACCTCCTTTCCTGCTCTCTAGCAATATTCTTTCTTCTGCTTTCGTTTCCTCTTTCTGCCCCCACCCCCTCACCTCCTTTGCCCTCTCCTATGGGCTCCTAACTCTTTCTGCAGCCTTTCTACTGCTACTCCTTGACTCCTTCTTACAGCTGTCTTTCTGCCACACCCCAGATCTTCTGGTAGGTAAGATCTACACAAGGACGAAAAATCTCGGAGGGCCCGTGTGCAAGTTGCGCACGTTAAATATCCCTTGGTGGTCTAAAATCGATAAGAGTAGACTTCGGCCGCCATCCGGGCAAAATTCAAAATTTCTTACCTACTAAAAATATTAGGTGTGTCCCGTGCGCTCATACGACCTTATGCAGTTGCGAGCGCCGTAAAACACCCACCCAAAAAAGAGACAGTGAAACCTCAAGTACAACGTTCCCGACTTAACAAAACGACCTCGTGGCTGCAAGTCCCTTTCAGTTTTGTTCCTTTTTAAAAGGAATGTCTATAACGTTACTTTTGGCGATAACGCTCACATTTTTAGGGAATTTAGTTATCCAAAGTCCGTTTACAACTTACATAGTACGCATGCAGTGACAATAGCCTAACTTTAAAAAATGACGAAAGGGTGGTGGCTTTGTCATACTCAGAAATGCAACGTAATCAGCTGCTAGCCTACAGTAGTGAGAGGGCGAGTTTTTCTACGTCACTAGGTCATGTGCAGCTGTCTACTTCAACGCCTGCTGCGCGGAGAGCTATTCTGCCGTGCCAAGGCAGACCGACGTATCTGCAAAAATCATTAATTTTTGCATCTTCGTTTTTAATGGGCGCCTATACCCATACTGCACTTGTGTCAAAGGCAGGAAGACGTATCTGCACTACAAATAGGATATTTCACTATGACAAACAGACGTAACTGAAGGGCCATGCCCATATTTCCAATGGCAGCGCGACGTAACTCAAAATCATAAAAAGTGCAGATACGTCGCTCTGCCTTGGCACGACAGTCTTGTAGTCGCTCTTAGTAGTAGGCCTATCTGTGGAACCGCCATTTTGCCTTGGGAAATCAGAATTTGTTTTAGTTTTGGTTTTAGTAAGGTTTTACGGCGCTGGCAACTGCATAATAAGATCATATGATGGGCGCAAAGGGGTGGGTGTCAACAGAGAAGTCCAAACGGGAAATTCGGTTTACTCTGCTCACCTCTCTAGCCTCAACAGCACAAAGTCTGCTTCGACTATCAAGGCACCCCGGAAATAGCAGTTCACAAGAGAGTGACAAACATACAAAAGAAGTAGAGTAAAAATGACAATAGCAAAGGATTGGGAAAGAAAAAGCAGCAGTCCCCCCTATGCTTTTCCGGCACAATATGAGCAAGCCATTGATAAATCAGCTTATTTACAATTCTACTGCGCATAAGAACATGTTAATATCTCCCCTTTAGGAATGGCCTAAAGACACTTCAGTCAGTAGCACTGCCCTGGTTGGGGCGGGG